CTTCTCATTGGTGACCCTGTCGGACGGATGACCTGCCCTGTTGCCATGTTTTCTGCAATTTTAAAAGGAGTCCGCTGCGCTATTCCAGAGAGAGGCACACCGTCCGATGAAGGCGGTGCAGCAGACGCAGAGACCAACGGAGCGTTAACCTCCTGCAGACTACTCGCTGTGACGACACCGCGTTCCTCACCAGTGACGGTTGTGGCGGAGTTGGTAGAACGACGGCTCGAGGCCGTAAATCCTTCGCCACTGTCCAACGCACGCTGCGGCACGTCAAAGGCGGCAATGTACATGGAGAAAGTCACTCGAAACGAATTCTCCGACGGCAGCGAATGTCTGCCAAAAACATTCTGCTGAACTGCGGCGTTGCTGCTTTCTGCAGCTACCGCATCTTTAACTGTCGCGGCGGCCACTGCTGCAGCTGCCTGTTGCGCGTCCTGCACGGTGATGGCCTCCACAAAGACGGGCAGGCCCTCCACGCCGGTGCGCACTCGAATCATCATGCCGAGCTGATCCGCCAGCAGGCAGACTTGCTTGAATGGTTTCACCTCGACGATTTTCCCGGGAAGCGACAATCCCCTCGATCTTGGGGCGGCACGTGCATCCCCCACTTCACTCGTTTCATTCGACACCGCTGTGCCCTCGCCGCGTGGCTCATGTTGCCGCATGAAGAGGAAGTGCTCCTGCGACGCCACGACCTTCGTCTCCGCCCCACCGCCTTTGCCGCTCTCCAACGGCGGGTGGGCGCCTTGCATGACGTTCGGCTCGTCGCTGTCTACAACCCACAACTCCAGACGCGACTCGAGTGGCTGCACAACAACACGCGGCCTCGATGCGGGGAACCAGCCAAGCAGCGCCCCCCACACCCAGGCCGCCGCGCATGCATCAAAACTGAACCGATCGGGTGAAAAAAAGGCGCGTTCCGGTCGTCCTTCCGCCAACGGCAGCAAAAACTTTTTAATGATGCCGCCGGACATCACGCATTCCCACTGGAGTGTGTCGCAAGAGACCATGTCAGATGCCGAGGTGGCGTTGTAGCGAACGTGCACAGAACACAACCCCTGCGACTGTCGTAATACGGTCGCGAGAAGAGCCTTTGTTGGAAGCATCAGGAAAAACTCGTCACGGTCGTCCTCGTGCCTCGGTAGATTTGTCTCGGATGTTGCGCCACCACTTTTTTCACATGAATTCGTCACGGAGTTTCCATGTATGCTGCGGTAGCCCTCAAGATAACGGGCGGCAATGCCCACAAGCATATGCGTACTACGAGTGCTGTTCACCACACGTAATTGCAAAGAGTCACGATGCGGCTCAAAGAAAAGCCCTTCCCCTTGCTTAGCGACGGTCTGCAGTAGGTGCATAAACGGCCGCACCGAGGCCCCTGTCACGGAAAAGCTAAGAAACATACGATTGCGTCAACCGTCCCCTACACACCCTGCTGCCCTCGGCCTCTGCCAAACAATGACGTGAATTCTTCACGGCACACTGGAAAAACAAAAAGAAAAACAAACACACAAAAAAAAACATTTACTCAGCTGCCGCGCTATAAACACACCGTCAGTCATGCATTAAAATGGACGCAACAGGTGCGTGCAAACCACCGCTGCCCACACAATATCTTCTTCTTTGCTCCTTCACTACGACACACAGACAGGTAAAGAAAAAAAAGAGAGAAGGTAATCGTCTCCCAATCCACTCCTCAAGCTACTCTACATGACAACCCAAAGCAATGAAGGAGGGAGAGGCAGAGAAACAAATAAATTGGGGTAAAAAAGAATCAAATAAAAAGAGCAAGCCCTTCTTTCTTTTTTTTTTCTTTGAACGCACAAATCACCAAAAGGAAAAAAAAAAAAGTAAAGATCAAACCAAACGTCTCTGAAAATATATGCATGCGTGCATATTATTCTTGCCCATCCACCTCCCTAACGCCAATCTCCTTCTACTTTGCATTAGCCATGTAAACTGTCCCATCTATTCCTTTATTATCGTTGCGTCCAAAGGAGGTGGCACACGCGGTGTCACGGGTGAGCTCATACGCTTAATTTCCTTTGAGGCATACGCCGGATTAAGAAACTTCGGGCAAGTGATACTGCAATTATAAATATTATGGCAAAAGTTTACCAATGGGCCATGCTCAAACATCTTGACGCGGCTATCGTAGTCACGGTCAAGAGGCTCAATCAACCAGCGATACGATTGTAGCAGAACGGCGGGACCAAGAAATTGTTCACGGTTCCACCAGTACTGCGGACAGCTGCCGGTGCATGAGGCGCAAAGCACGCATTCATAAAGACCCTCCAGGCGATTTCTATTACTGCTGTGCACCTTCTCCTTGAGGTACCAACGGCTCACCGCGTATGGGTTGTTTCCAAAGCCTGGACGCTGTGTCAGAACGTGAAAAGCCGTCTTGCTGTTGTCTTTGGCGGTAAATACAGTCTCAGGCTTTGGTGCAGCGTTCTTTAATATACGACGATACATGAAGAGAGGGCTGCTGTACCTTGCAACCTCTCCTGTAAGCGGGGCCGAAGGCATATATATATATATTTCTCAAAGGGATTCTCTCTCTCTTTTTCTTTTTTCCCTACAACAGCTACCGGGCTATATATAAATATTTATATGTGTATTGCACGATTATTCGACTCCTCTCACTCTCCTTGGACTTCTCTTGGCTGCTGGGTGTGGTTGATATCACTTCTTTGCTTTTTTTTTTTCTAAATGAATTTATTCCTAAAGCGCCCAAGACGTGGCGGCGGCAGTGCCACAAAAAGAAGAAAAAAAAAAAAGCAAACCAAACAACCGAGAGGCGGAGGCCGGTCAAATAAACAAATATATTATTTTTCCTTCAAGACCACATATCTAGACAAGAGAGACATGAGTCACCTGGTGCCTCTCTCTTTCTCTCACTTGCCGTGGCGGATTAAAAAAAAAATAATAATAATAATTAAATCAAAAATATATAAAAAAGGGCAAACCACTCAACTCCTCGTTTTATTTATTTATTTGTTTGTGTGTGTTTGTGTGTGTGGGGGGGTTCATTTTGCCTCACACCGTCTCGTCCCGCTCTTGCTGACCGTCCCCCTAACCCACCAGCAGCATTGGCAATGTCCCACGGCCGCAAAAGATAAGTCCGCGCTCCAGTGTGTCTGCGTGTGCGTCTGCCAGAAAAAAAGTCGCGCAAACGCCCCCCTCAAAACCAACCAAATGAAGCGACGACACGAACAGAGAAAGCGGATGCGCACAAGCACGCGGGTCAAGAACAAACAAACAAACAAACAAAAGAAAAGTCGAAGTAAGACCAGAGAAAGAAAAACAAAAAGTATGCTTCAAGACACATCACGTAAAGGGGAAACGGAGGTCTACCACCTCATGCGGTGGGGCGCATCACCCGGCTTGATGGTGAACACGGAGTGGAGGTATCCGGCCTTTTCCTTCCCGAGCGGGTCCTTCCTGATCGCCTCAATGAGCGCAGCATCAACCGTCTTCTGCAGCTGCGCACGGGCATCACTGACGATGCCCTTCGGTGCCGCCTTCGCCGTCTTTTTGGCCTTCTGCTCCGCCGCTTTCTTCGCCTTGTCACCCATAAACTCACCCTCCGACTTCACGCGTTTTTCCTGCTTCGGGCGCTTGAAGATGTCGGGGGTGATGCCGCTCACGTCCACATTTTTGATGTTCACCTTCGTCGACGTCGCAATGATGTAGCGAGAGTCGATGCGACGGATCGGCACGCCGTTGTATTTCATGGGCCCGGAGATTACCAGCGGACCGTTGCGGGGCAGCTGCTTCAGGATCACCACGCGGCGGCCACGGAAGCGGCCGGCAAGGATGATGGCGATGGTGCCGGGCTTGCAGCTCTTGCGCAGCGTCGTGTACTCGGGGCTCTTGCGGCTCACTTTCTTGGCAACCTTCCTGGTGGCACTTTTCTTCTTAGCGAGGGCCATCGTCCTTTTCCCTTTTTTTTTGGGGGGGGGGGGGGAAATTTTTCTTTCCTTACGTCGTTCTCCCTTTACGATCAGTCCCTGTTGCAGCGGCGGAGGAGAAGAGTGCGTGCAGACAGTACGGGAGAGAGAGAGAGAGAGAGGATGAGAAACAACAACAACAACAACAACACAAAAACAAACACATGGAAGGTGCATTGACTTAAAGTGCTGCCATGACAAAGAAAAAAAAAAAGAGAAAAAAGAAAACGTTGGGTTTTAACCGCGTGGAAAAGTGTGACGGCACATGTGGCGGGCATCCGTGACGCGATCTCCGTCCGGCCAGCCTCTTCCCCCCCCCCTCTTTCCCTGCTTGCACGAGCAGCTCCCCTCCTCCACCCGTGTTGGGTAGAAGAGATAAATTCCCTTCCATGCGCACACGCGTGTATTGCACGTGCAACCATATAAATATGACTGTTTTCTATTTTTATTTTTATTTTTTATTTTTGTTGTTGTTGTTGGAGGGGGGAGAGGGGGGAGTTGAGCAGCCGTCATGACATCCGTCCGCATACACGCACATCTATTCAAAGGGGATGCATATACATAGAGAGAGAGAGAGAGAAAAGAGAAAAGAAAAGAAAAAAAAAAGTAAAACAAAACAAACACGCATACAAAAACGCAACAAAATATAAATGTAAACTAAAAACATAATTCATTCATTAAAATATTTATATTTAATTCTCAACCCGTAAAAAAACCACACGCACCCCTTTCGCCCCACCCACACCCAGACACCCACCCACAAACGTGTACGATATTCCCATTCGCTCTTCCCCCCC